AGTAAAAAATTATTGTAACAAAATCAATTAAAATCTGTGTTGGGGCCTCCTTGGTGGCGCAAGGGGGTTAAGCTATCCACAGCCTCTGCAGCATGAGTTCGATGCCCCTGTCAGCCAGGGAGCTCCCCACATGGTGCAGCCGACCTCTCCTGACTTGCCCGCTGCTCCCCTCAGCAGTGCATTTCAGTCTGCCTGTTCTGTTCCCCATCTGTCTTGGGTGAGTCCTCTTGCCCTCTGCATCTCTAGCCTATACCCCTATTCTTGTATGCATAAGTGAATAAATCTTTTAAAAATAAATAAAATAAAATCTAAAATGATATCTACAAGTAGGTTATAATATGATTATAAACACTTTATAGCTGTTAAAATCAACTTAGATTAGATTAGAAAAGGCATAAAAAGTTGATAATAATCAGGCACTAAAATTTCAAGTTATTCCAACTAAACTAGAAAGTGAAAGTATAACTGGATCCCCACGGTGCCCAGAGGTAAGGCAGCTCTGTTGGGGCTGAAGAATGCTGGCCTCAGCTGGCCGCCTGTAGTATCCCACCCCGCGCTGCCCAGCCCCAGTGAAGTCAGCTCTAGTCATGGTTTCCCTGAGCCCACAGGCCTAGAAGCCTGCCCTGACCTGAGCGTAGGCCGGGGTGGGTTTTTCCCCCCTTTATCTGACTCTAGGATTCTAAATGGACTGACCATGTTCAAGCTCACTTCATCAGTTAATTATTTGGACTGAAAAATGGAATTGAGCTAATTGGTACTAAAAAGTCCAATCAGATGCTAAAAATTGAAAACGGTCCAACTGGGCTTGTAGGGTATGGGACCTGGAAGGGATATAAGGCAGAACAAGAGCCAGCTTGATTCATTCTGCTCCTGACCTTTGAAAAGGAAGCATTTATTGGATCACCTTCAAAGAAGAATTCTGCTCCCAGCCTCTGAAGAGAGAAGCATCAAGCAGTCGACTTCCGTGGGATTCAGCAGACCTCTGCAGATCTCTGTAGACTTCTAGATGACCTCCAGACCTCCACAGACCTGTGCAGAGACTTGGACACTACACCTGCCTCTAGCCCCACCTCTGGCATTGACTGCAAGGAGCACCTAGGGCTTGGCCCAGTGTCTCAAGGAGCGTCAGCACCACCTCCTGGTGCTGTTGAGTCCATTACTGTCTGGTCTGGCATCCATCTCTGCCTTCAGATTGCTGCTGTGGGCTGCTTCAGTGTCACCTTATCTCCCGTAAGCAGCCTTTGTTTGAGACTTCTGGACGCTGCGGACACTATCTGGGGTGAGACAGTCAGCCACTATGGCCTTAAAAACTCTTTGCTTTTCTCTAATGTCCTGTTTATTAAATAAACCCTGTTGTTGTTGGACCCTGAGCCTGAGTGGTCTTGCAGCAGTGTGCACAGGTGTGAACCCATTGATAGTGACCTGTCCCTGCACCTGTCTCTTGGGCACTGTGTTTTGATCCCTGACTCTTCTGTAGGACTGTTTGAGCTCTCTTGTGCAGTTTCAGAAGGGAAAGAGAGAAGAGAGGGAAAAGAATAGGAAAGGTTTTATCTTATCTGTGTTGGGAAGCAGAAAAGTCACCCCTCCCCAAATATATCACTTTGGCATAAGGATTGTTTTGAGTTAACGGCAATTAGAACTCAGCAGACTCAAAAGGCTTTTCTTTACCTCGCCCTTAACTAATTTAGGGAACCATTCCAGAGAACCATCACCAGTGTTAACTATAAAGAATATGAGCTAATGGGATCCAGTGTGGTTGACAGGAAGAAACTAGCAAGGCCTGATTGCTCCAAAGCTTCTCTGTCCCTTTGTTTCAGCTGGGGTGGCAAACAGTTTACCAGTCATTGACTTGTCTTATTTTCCTGTAAATTGTCTTCTTCCCCTTTGAAGTCTCAGACCCTATCACCTTTTCCCGAGTTTAGGATGGCTTATAAATCCTGATTGCCAGACTGTTAGGGAGCCCCTTATCTTTATGGGGTGCCCTTAAGTGATAAATTTGTTTTTTCTTCTCTCAATCTGTCTGGTGTCATTTTAATTATTAGACCAGCCAAAGAACCTAGAAGGCTAGGAGGAAAATCCTCCTTTTCTACATCTGGAGGAATAGTTAGAATCAACTCTTGATGATACCTACACTCTTGATACCTACACACACATGTCCTGATATGTTAGTTAAACATTTAAACATAACATTTAAACATATTTGTATAAGTGTATACATAGAAGGTACTTGAATAACAACAATTTTGTTCACCATCATTTCATTTTAACATTGACGAGGAAAAATAAATCAATTCCTAGCCAAGACCAGCATCTGTGTGCAATTTCCAGCCATGTTCGCCTCATGTCTACATGGGTTTTCTCCTGTGACTCTGGTTTCCTCCCACATGCCGGAGACGTGCCCTTGAGGCTCACTGGAGCATCTAGATCATCCCAGTTGGAGCAAGTGTGGGAGAGTGTGTGATATGCCTTGTGATGGAAGGACATCCTGTCCATCCCTGGATCCCAACTTGTGTCCTGAGCTGCCCGGAGAGGCTCCAGTCACCTGACAACCTGCACTGGAATAAGCAGGCTGGGAAATAAGTGAATGAAGATAGTGACTGTTTAATATTAGAAGTGTTTGGGATCTTTATTTAGAAGCTTAGGGGCCTCCCTGGTGACACAGGGGTTGGAGACAGCACTGTGAAGCTCTCACCAGCCACTACAACCTGAGTTCGATCCCCCGCCGGCCAGGGAGCTACCCACATGGCGCAGCAGACCTCTCCTGTCTCACCCACTGCTCCCCTCAGCAGTGTATTTCAATAGATTCGCCTGTTCTGCTCCCCACTCTGTCTCTGGTGAGTCCTCTCACCGCCTCTGCACCTCTGACCTGCACCCCAGTTCTTGTCTGTATAAATAAATAAACCTTAAAAAAAAAAAAACCTAAAAAGCTTTAAAAAAAAAAAAGGCTTAGTAATGTTTTTATGACCAGAAATATGCCAAACTCCTGTTTGGATCAATTCACCTAGGATAAAAATGGTTTTGTTATACATGGATTTAACTTAAAGTTGTAGTATCCAAGAACCTGTTGACAATGTTAAGTGATGATGTACTATGTGTGTGCACTCTATAAAGAAAACACATTTTTTAAAAAAAAGTCCTAAGAATATGCTAGTCAAGGGGTTGTGCTAGACCACAAAGAACATCTCAATGTAGTCTCAGGTAGAATCCTAACATATTAGCTGACTGTATTGTAGAAATTAACATCAAATATGGAAACCCGTTATCACAAGTCATGACATTAAAAAAAAAATAACAAAAACATGTTGACCCCAAACAAAAAAGCAACTAGTCCACCAACAACATGAATTTATTCTGAAACAACAACTAGAAAGCAATCTGGGATGTGCAGTCTCCTGGTGAGACACATGTGCACTCTCCCATTCCAGGGCTGGCACCCACTAGAGAGCTTTTGGAGGCTGCTGGGTGGAGATGCCTTTTACCTTCCACTAGTGTGCGGAAGCAACAGTGCTTCCCTCAGAGACACAAGGCAGATTGGGTCCTCCTGTCCGCTGACTGCACGAGCATGATGGGCACTCTCTTCTAGACTCCCAAGCTCATATAAGTAGAGTTTCTCTGTATTAATTTTTACATCTGAAGCTCTTCCATCAAAGGGAAAATTTTTAAGAAGAGGAAATGGTAAGTTATAACTATTTGAAAAAGTATTGAGAACACTACTTATCAAAGTCATGGGATGCTGCCAAAGTCACACGTAGAGAGGATTCATATTAAATAAGCATCCTAAAAAGGTGAATTGAATGTTCTGTTCAAGGAGTTAGATGATGATAGGGGGCCTCCCTGGTGGTCTAGTGATTAAGTCTCATTGCTATCACCACTAAGGCCTGGGTTCCATCCCTGGCCAGGGAGCTAACCCACAAATGGCGCAGCAGACCTCTCCTGTCTCACCCGCTGCTCCCCTCAGCAGTGTATTTCCGTAAACCTGCCTGTTCTGCTCCCCATTAGTCTCTGCTGAATCCTCTCACTCCCCATACCTCTGGCCTACACCCCAGCTCTTCTATGTAAAAATTTTAAAAAATAAATTTTTTAAAAAAGAAGTTAGATGGGCCTCCCTGGTGGTACAAGAGGTTAAGTCTCAGCACTATGAAGCAATTCAAGCCACTGCAGCACCAGTTCCATCCTAGGCCGAAGAGGTGACCCACCTAGAGTAGCAGACCTCTCCTGTCTCGCCCGCTGCTCCCCTCAGCAGTGTACTTCGGTTAATCTACCTGTTCTGCTCCCCACTCTGTCTCTGGTGAATCCTCTCATCCCCATTCCTGCACCTCTGGCCTGTACCCCAGCTTTGGTATACATAAATAAATAAATCTTAAAAAAAATAAGTTAGATAATGAATAATGACAGAGTAGGAGAATGATAACATAAAAACAAAATGATTAATTAGAAAAAAGGAAAACATTAATATCAGTAATCAATATAAGGAAAGGTCAAAGGTAATACTTTCAAACAATTCACAAAAATAACCACAAATATACAACAATTAGAGATGAGAATGGGAATATAATAACAGGTATAGAGGAAAACTTTTAATTATAAAGTATAACTGGAAGATCTCCCTGGTGGTGCAAGGAGTTAAGCACAGCACTGCGAAGCTGTCCGCAGCTTCTGCAGCACGAGTTGAGTTCGATCACCAGCCGGCCAGGGAGCTACCCACATGGTGCAGCAGACCTCTTCTGCTTCTCCCGCTGCTCTCCTCAGCAGTGTATTTCAGTAGATCTGCCAGTTCTGTTCCCTGTTCTCTCTCTGGTAAATCCTCTCACACACACCCCCACACCTTTGGCCTGTACCCCAGCTCTTGTATGCATAAATAAATAAATCTTAAAAAAATAAAGTATAACTGGAAAATTTCCCAGAATATCTGGTTAAGATTAACTGATACCCTGACTGATACCCTGGAGAAATAATCTCCTCTTCAGGACTCGCCCTGATGCGCCGACTCCCGCGACAGCATGGTGGCCTACTGGCAACAGGCTGGGCTCAGCTACATCCGACACTCCCAGATCTGTGCAAAAGCAGTGAGAGATGCTCTGAAGTCAGAGTTCAAAGCCAGCGCTGAGAAGACTTCTGGCAGCAATGTAAAAATTGTGAAAGTGAAAAAGGAGTAATGTACCCTGACTAAAGCTTGTGATGCTCCATTTTTGAGGTGAAGATGTGTGGGTGCACGTTATGGCGGACTGGAAACGATCTCAAGTCAAAAAAAAAAAAAAAAAAACCTGTCTTGCTGGTAGATTGACAATGTCAATAAATTGAATTCTGCTTCCCTCTTTAAAAAAAAAAAAATCTCCTCTTCAAAAAAATCACCAGTCTAATAGTTTTGTTATTTGGTTTGGTTTGGTTTGGTTTTTTTTAAAGATTTATTTATTTATGCATACACAAACTAGAATATAGGCCAGAGGTGTGGGGGGGGGTGAGAGGATTCACCATAGACAGAGCGGGGAGCAGAACAGGAGGACTGACTTAAATACACTGCTGAGGGAAGCAGCAGGAGAGACATAGAATGTCTGCTGCGCCATGTGGGTAGCTCCTGGAGCACCGGAATCGAACTCAAATTCGTGCTGCAGAGGCTGTGCATAGCTTCATAGTGCTGTGCTTAACCCCTGTGCCACTAGGGAGGCCCCAATCTGATAGTTTTTAAAGAAACTTCTACAAGGGGCCTCTCTGGTGGAACAGGGGTTAAAGTCTTAGCACTACCAAGCTATTGTCAGCCACTGTGTCATGAGTTCGATCCCCAGCCAGGGAGCTAACCCACATGGCGCCGCATACCTCTCCTGTATCACCCACCTGAGTTCTTAATCTGAGCCCAGCATTATGCTAAGCAATTTTTACATATTATCATGTTCAAAATAGGAAAACTTAAAATGTGTTGAGATTACTATAACTGGATAAGAAAACTTGGTAAAGAAATCACATATTCACAAAAACGTATCACATTTATAAATATATATACTCGCTTAATAACTATTATAGGGAATCTAGCTATGAATTAATATTATATCATATCTTCACCAAAAGAGGGTTTTCCTTCTGGGAATTAAAAAATGGCTTGCCAAAAGGAAACCTTAAGAGTCCAAAAGAACACACATTCTAATTAAAAATAAAATAACAGCAACAAACCTCACAGTAAATCAGAATTGGGAGGCAACTTTCTTAATGTGATTTAAAAGTTACCTCAGCAATTCAATAATAAACATCACAGTAACCAATGAAACATAAGAAACTTTTTTATGAAAAAGAACAAGATAGGGTTGCCTTCTCTAACCACTACTAACACAGTTCTGTCCAAATAAAACTGCAGATGAAATACGTATAAATGCTGGAAAGAAGACGTTTTTATTTTTTGCAGATGACACGACAGCTTATCTAGAAAAACCAAAAGAATTAACTGAAAAGCTTATAAGAATAATAGATATCAATAAGATGGCTAGATATAAAGTTTGCAGAAATTAAGGGCATTAGTGAATGCTAATGATAACCAGTTAGTAGTTGTAATAGAAAAATATTCCATGTACTTATAGTATTAGTCCATGAACTTATAAAATTATTATAAGTCATAAGTTAACTATGATTTAAAAGTTCAAGACATACGTGAATAAAGCTATAAAACCTAAATGACATGACCAGAGGATAGTTCTCTCCAGATTTAACTCAATTTCAATGAAACTGTATGTTCTGAAACTATAAGTTTTTTGTTTGTTTGTTTGTTTGTTTGTTTGTTTTGTTTTGTTTTTAGAGGCACGTATTTTATTTATTTATTTATTTGTTTATTTGTTTATACATGCACTGGGTACAGTCAGAAGCGCGGGAGGGTGAGAGAATTCACCAGCGCCAGAGCAGGGAGCAGAGCAGGCAGAAGGACCGAAGTACACTGCTGAGGGTAGCAGCGGGCGGCAGGAGAGGTCTGCGCGCCATGTGGGACCCTCCTCCGGAGGCAGGGGAGCAGCTGGGGATCGAACCGGCGCCGCAGAGGCTGCGGGGAGCTTCACAACCCAGCGCTCAACCGCTGCGCCACCGGGGAGGCCCTGAAACTATAAGTTTTAAGAGCAAAAATTGTTTTGAAGAAGAATGGAAATTTGCCCTATGATATATAAATTCCTCACAGTAGTAAAGATTAGCAGAGGAATAGTCAGATCACCAGGGCAACAGACATTCACAAATACACCCAAGACTACATGGGTATTTAGTGCTTGAGAAAAAGGGCATTTCAGATCAAGGCAAGAGGGACTATTCAATAAAAGTTAAGACAACTGGCTTTCCATTTGGAGGAAAAAAAGCAATGACAGGATTCCAACCTTATACCATGCACAAAAATAAATTCCATATGAATTAAAGATTTAATTACAAAAACAAAGCAAAGAAATTGTGAAAACAGACCATAAGAAATGTTTAACATTGGCAAAGGAAAACTCTTTCCTGGGATGATCAAAGCCAGACACCATAAAAAAAGAAACTGAGATATTTCACTACCTTAAACTAAAACTAAAAACAAAATGCCCCATATTAAATCCAATGAAAACATTTACACTAGAACAGACTTAAACAAATGAGGGAGTGAAAACAGGCAAAGGACTTAAATATGCAATTAATAAATAGAGAAATGCAATGCTCAATAAACACTTCAAAGTCATTGAACTTCAACCTAAACAGTAAGCAAAGAAATCCAAATTCAACGATAATATTCATAGTCAAGGAATCTGAGGGAAGCACATTCAGTGAGTGCAAGGGGGATATCCAAACAGGAGACTGTCACTCTTACCTCAGCAGGAACAAAGCTGTGTGTCCCCAAGCATTAAAGAATACCTTCACTTGGCAGGCAGATCCTCCAGAACCAGCTGAGACTACCAATGGAGGTTGGGAAGGAGAGAGTGGCTAGCAGGGAAGGGAGGAGAGAGGTGGGGTGGGGTCATGGGGGAGGGGGAGAGGGTGTCAAAAATTCACATAGGTGTGCTACCTGCTTGACTAAAAGGGCGGTCTTCTAAGATCATCTATTCCTATTTATCTATTTAGTCACCAAAAAAATCTGGCAACATGTAAAACTGGTTACAAGGGTTCTCTGGATGTGGGGAGGGAGAAATGGTGGATCTGGGTGAATGGGGCAGGGTGGTAAGGATGGGGACCCAGGGAAAAGAGACTTTACTTTCCCCTTGTATAAATTTTGTGTGTAATTTTTTAACCATACAAATGTATCATCTACCAAAAATCTGAATTGAAACCTTGTACTCTCTAATAATTACAACTGGATCTGATTTTCTTTTCCCATACACACTCCCAGACAGCACAGTATTATCTGGGATTTTGACTTTTTTCAAAAGGCAGAAACTTCCTACACCTCTTCTAGAATTTAAACTTCCGTGGCATTGCTAAAGGAAAATTCCCTTGCGACTTTCTAAAGGGCAGTTTGGGAACATGGATCAACATGTGAAATTTTCATAACCCTTCAACCCAACAAAGACATTTCTAAAAGTTTATCCTAAAGAAACTGCTGGATAAGGGCGCAAAGATGATCCTTGTGGCAGAATGCATCACGGGGGAGAACTGGAAGCTGGCCTTGCACTTGCGTGGGATTGCATAAGCTATGGGCATGGCTACAGAAGCCTCTTGTCTATGGACCACATTTCCAGGTGCAAGACTCCCCTGGTCCCCCTTCTCAGAACTGTGCCTCTGCTGCTTCCCCAACCCTCCACCTGGCTCTTGGATGTAACACCCCGTGTTACCCAGGATGGGTCACCCGCTCACCTAGTCAGAATAGGGGGGCGGTGGTTGGTGTTGAAGCAGAAGATATTGCTGGTCTTGCGCAAGTCATCCAGGAACTCACGCACCGACTGGCTGCGGAGTTCTGCCAGGGGCCGGATCTCATGCTTTGCGTACCACTGGTGGTACGCAGAACACTTGGTACATATAAACTGCTCGCACTCAAAGCACCAGAAGTCAGCCGCCTCTTTGCAGCGGGTGCAAAAGGCCTCCTGGCCCACGACCTGGCGGTACATGGACAGGTACCGCTGCAGACTCTCGAAGAAGACGTTATCCAAGGCCCTTGTGTTGGCACCTGGCGGTCTCGGGGCTTGGCAGATGGGGCACTGCACACTCTGCTCCTCCAGGCACCCTGAGCACAGCGTGTGCAGACAAGGCAGCAGCTTGGGGCACTTGGCTTCTGTCTGGCAGCCCTGGCAGTTCAGGAACTGGAACTCATCCTCAGTGGCTGGCTGGGGAAACCAGAGAGGGAGTTGAGGTCCGAAGGCCCAGGTGCCCCCCGCCAGACCAGACACTGACCACCATGTCTGCAGGTGGCCATGGGCTTCATACTCCGTTCCAGTCAATCACAGTAATTGCAAACCCCAGGTTTATCAGTATCCTAACCCCTCATTTACTCAGACCTTTCTGCTCTCTCCACAATTTAATAAATATCTCCTTCTCCTCAGACACAGTACCAGACCCTGAATACAGGAGACTTCCCTGGCTTCAAAGAATTCCATTTAGAAAAGATATATATTAAGTACCAAGCTCCTATAAAATATTTAATATAGTTTGGTGCTTTCTCAAAAGGTGAAACTACCATATCATCCAGCAATTCCACTCCTAGATATATAGCCCCAAAGCAAGGACCCACAAGGATATTTGTACACCCATGTTGACAGCAGCATTTTTCTCAACTGCCAAAGATGGACACAAGCCAACTGTCTTTAACAGATGAATGGATAAACAATATGGGGCATAAACATAGGATGGAATAGCCTTTAAAAAGAAGGAAACTCTGACACAGCCTACAACATGGCTGAACCTTGAAGACATCAGGCTACGTGAGAGAAGCCAGGCATAAAAGAACAAATACTGTATATTCCCACTTTTTAAAATTTATTTATTTTTACTTATTTTATATATTTTTACATCATTTTTCATTTATAGTCCCCCTGAAATTCCCACCCCCCCATGCACCCCTCAACTCTCACCATGGCCCCTTGTGCTCTCTCCACCCGTGTTTTCATCCTACTCACTCTCCCCCCTGTAGTGTGTCTCTGATTTATAGTTGCCTGTTGATTTTGATTTTTACTCTACCATAATTAGTTTTTTTCCTGATCCCTTATTTGGATCCTTATCCCCACTTCCGGAGAACATCTAGGCAAATTCACAGAAATAGAAAGTAAAAGTTACCAGGGGCTGGGAGCAGGGAATGTTTTATTGCTTAAAGGGTACAGAGTTTCTGTTTGCCATGCTGAAAAAGGTCTGACTATGGATGTGTTGTGGTTTCACAACATTGTGAATTTACACAACACCACTCAGAAATGGTGAACTTGGTAGATTTTATGCTATGTATATTTTACAGCAGAAAAGTAATTAATGCAATACCTGATGCCTGAGACGCGTTCATAAATGTTAACTAGTACTGTTCAGAATATTATTCCTAGTGATAATAATGCAAATAATAAAAGTTACTGCCGCCCGGTGCTATTTCTTTTTTCACGAAGGGGAGAGTAAAAGGGGCTGGAAGAACACAGGGCCCTGATCTGAGTCGTTCCCTTGAGGGCGGGTGCTGGGGTGCCTGTCCAGGAGACTAAGGCAAGCTCCCACCCTGAGAGCCCCTGAGGTCGGGGGCTTCGGGTAGTGTTGCAAGAGAAATGGCTGGGAGGCTTCCTCCAGGAGAAAGCACAGAAGTTGTGACGCTGTAGCCAAGACACCCCTCGCCCCGCCAGCTCCCCACTTCTGGCCTGGGAACTTGGGTTCTGTTTTTCAGGTCCCCCACTTCTGGCCTGGGAACTTGGGTTCTGTTTTTCAGGTACCTGAGACAAGCCCCTAGCTTCAGGGTGCACAAGCGGGGTCCTCCCTCCGTTCTCCCTAATCGGGGATCCTTCCCCAGGGACCATGAGGCCAGTCCACCGGGGTGGGCGGGGAGAATCCGGTCTTGGGTGCCACCGCCCCTCCGCGGATTTTGTGCACCCCCTGTACGGAGAAGTGCCGTCTAGACAGGCTCCCCCAGCGCCCCTGGTTTACTCCCCCCTACTCCTACCCCAATCAGGAGTGCCAGGACCCCCAAGTCCACTCTTTCCCCTTCATGTCACTCTTTGGGGTCCCTGGGCAGACGCCCCAGCCCCTTCCTCCTCTCCCCCACCACAGCAAAAACAACAAAAAAGCTCCAGCCCGTCACCCCAGCCCCGAGTACCTCCGGGGGGCCGTGGCCGGGGCCGGCGCGCTGGTCTTCGGAGAGGGGCTCCGGGGCGGGCGCGGGGGGCGCGCGGGGCGCGGGGGGGCCGCGCTGGGGCGCGGGCGAGCGGGCGGGCGCGGGCTCCATGTGCCTGGACCCGGCGGTTTCGATTCTCAGCTCTGCGTCCAGAGGCGCGAGCAGAAGCCGCAGCTCAGCGAGTGTCGCACGGCCCCGCGCTGCCCATGGAGGCCGCCCGCAGGGGCGGCGCCTGCGCGGGCCCCGCCCGGAGGAAGCGAGGCGGGCTGGGGGAGCCGGGGCGTGTCGGGGGGCCGAGCCGGGGGCCTGTCGGGGGGCCAGCTAGGGAGGGGCGGGGCGGCTCTGGGGCGGGGAGGCCCTCGGTGGGTCTTGGAGACGCTCTCCCAGAAAGGGGAGCGGGGACATGGGGTGAGGTGCGCTGCTGGCCTTGGGGCACAGCCTGCGTGCACCGGGGAGGCCTGCCCTGGCCCTGAGTTAGCTCAGTCAGGTTTGCCCCCAGGGGCTGGAGGGCGCGGTGGGGGGAGGCGAGCCTGGAGGTTGACGTTCATGGGTGTAGGGGAACTGAGATTTTCATGCTGTGTTGGGCTGACCGGGAAGGACAGGCCCCAGTGTTATAGGGCAGGGAGAGGGGCAGCCCAAACCCCCGCAAACCTGCCTATTCTACATGGGTTCTGCCATCCGCCGCATCAACACAAAACATAGGAGACTTTAATGGGAAGGAACTTTAATAAAACTAGGAAACAATACAGGTAAGGCAAAGAGTCTAGTTTCTAAATGAAGCACCCAAAGTTACCCGTCCCCTCGTGGGTAAAAGTCCATCCAAATGGGATTGGCCCAGAGCAAGGCCCCAAAGCCTGCCACAAGTCTGAAGCATCTTCCAGTGGGGACCCACAGAAAAGGGTCACAAACAACCGGGCAAGCCCAGAAGGAAAAGAGCAAAATCAACATCAAGATAAAAGCTGCCATGGTCACCTCCCCACGGGTCTCACCCACATCTGTGTCACCCAGTCCACGACCAAAAGACAAGCGCAGTTTCTTCACGTGTCTCTAGGCTCCATGCGCCTCCTCCAGGTCTCCTGGCTCCATCCTGCTTCCTTCCTCAGTCTCTTCTGCAGCTTCTCCTCTTCCTGCTCAGCTCCACCCTCCCTTGGGAGGGGCAGGGAACCTCCCCCTTTCCTGGGGACCACCCTGTTACACCAGGGGGACATGAAGGAAGGGGTGAGGGGGTGGGGACTCACGGGGTTCAGGGTTTGTCTCTAAGACTGAGGAGGGCACGTGTAAAGGCGTGAGGGTTTGAACGGGAATCTGTGGAGGAACTAGTTTCGTTTTTTTTCAGGTTTAAGAGAGGACGCATGAGCAATGTTTGCCAAGGCCTGAGTTGGGGAGAAATCCTAACTGAGATGCCAAGGAGGCTAGGAGGAGTGAAGCTAGGGATGGAAGCATCACAAGGCCAGAACTGGAGGTGGGCGTAGAAATGATTGAACATGGTTGTTAAACCAGCTACAGCAATGAAAACCCCTCAGGCAGGGACCAGAGATGGGGATGTGGAGACTGGGGCCCTTGGAGAATCACTGGCTCTTACAAACTAACCCAATCACACCCTAAAGGTGACTGATTCACAACAGATAACAATTCCACAAGGGCCTCCCTGGTGGCACAGGGGTTAAGATGCTACCTATGAAGCAATCCACAGCCACTGCAGCACGAGTTCAATCCCCAACCGGCCACGGAGAAACCCACATGGCGCAGCAGACCTCTCCTGTCTCCCTGTTGCTCCCCTCAGCAGTGTATTTCAGTCAGTCTGCCTGTTCTGCTCCCCACTGTCTCTGGTGAATCCTCTCATCCCCTGCATCTCTTGCCTGTACCCCAATTCTTGTATAAAAATAAATAAATCTTTAAAAAATAATACAAAAGAATGAACCCCTCCCCCAAAGAAGAACAATTTCTGCACTGGCAAAAGACAGCTCTCCTGCCCACCTGTACTATGCTTTTTCTTTTTCCTTTTCCTAACAAACCTGTCCTTTTAAACTGTAAACTTCGTTTGCCTGTGTCTGTGCAAACACTGTCATCTCCTGGGTAAACTCACCTTGTGCCCCTGAAAGAGGAATTCTGGTGAAACTTTTCTCTGAGGTAACCCAAGGACCCCAGTCACCAAAACAACATCAAGATGGAGCAGTTCTGTGCACAAGACAGGGGATCCCTTAAGGAACAGTGTGATTTCTTGTGCTTGTTGGGACAGACATTCTGACAACATAGGGATGGGTGGCCTCATCAAGGACTGGGGCTGTGGAATGCAGACACTCGCTGGATACAGTGGAGACAAGAGGAAGAGGCTCATGCCTTGTGTGACAGCTGGAAAGTCTGTGGATGTGAGGCTGTGGGAGCCTGCCCTACCCTCCAGCCTGCTCAGTGCTCACAGGGTTTTAGAATAAATCCATTAAATCTGGAATAGCGAAAGACCACCACCCGTGAGCAGGCACCTGCAGAAGGGACCTAGAATTGGGATATGGCTGAGGATTGAGGCACAGGGCTGGCTTCTTTGCTCCTTTGGAAGACAGCCTGCTCTCTGTTGGAAGTTAATACTTCTCAGAATAAATTCACCATTTATATTCAGATTTTCTCAAGCCATGAAAAGGCAGGTTACCTCTGGCACCTGGACCAAGGAGTGTGCTGTTTTCCGATCTGCAGGACCAAGCATCTCCTCTGTGGTGCTCTGGAGGGCCTGCCCCAGGACAGGACCATCCTTAACTCTGCTGTGCTCCTGAGGCCTGTACATGTCATTTCTCTCTTTTTACGCCATTGTTCAGGCCCTCAGGCGCCACACATAAATACTGACACCCACTCTGCGCCAGGCCCAGTGGGGACACAAAAAGTAATAATTTGCTGACCATGCCCTGGAGAAACCCTAATTCTAGATAAGGACCTCCCCACCAGCCATCCCAATATTGGGATTTTTTTTTAAGATTTATTTATTGGCTGAAATACACTGCAGAGGGGAGCAGCCGGAGAGACAGGAGCGGTCTGCCGCGCCACGTGGGTATCTATCTCCCCAGCTGGGGCTCAAACCCGCACTGCAGAGGCTGCGGACAGCTTCACAGTGCGGTGCTCAACGACCTGCGCCACCAGGGAGACCCCCAATATGGGATTTTGGGAGGGAGTGCTGAGCGGACTGGCAGCATCTTCTTGGTGCTGGAGAAAACTTGCTCCTGAAGAACCCTTCACAGAGCCCAACGTCCCCTCTGCTCCTACGCTCAGGCCCAGCGGCGAGCGGGAAGCACAAGCCAGGACTCTAGCGCGCCCCCTAAGCCGAGCGCGCAGCCCACCCCCATCCCCGGCGCGGGCTACGCGGTCCTCCGGGCGCAGGGGGCGCTGTGGCGGCGGGGCGGGGCCGGCGGCGGGGGCGGGGCCCTCCTGACGCAGGACCGACGCCCGCGGCGCCGGGGACACCGGAAGCGGCCGCGGCGGGGGCGGGGCAGCCGGGGTCGCTGGCCGGGCGGCGCTGGGCTCGGGGCGCTGGGCTCGGGGCGTCCTCCCCGCGCAGGACCATGCTCGGCAGGTCGGGGTACCGCGCGCTGCCCTTGGGGGATTTCGATCGCTTCCAGCAGTCGAGCTTCGGCTTCCTGGGCTCGCACAAGGGCTGCCTGTCCCCGGAGCGGGCGGCGTGGGGACCGGGGCCGGTGAGTGGCCCCCTGCGCGGCGGGCCCCGGGGGGAAGCTGGCCCCGCAGGCCCGAACCCGCCGCCTCCGAGGAGTCGGTCGGCCCAGCCGTGGCGGTGCCCGTGCCCAGGGGACGCGATCCGAAGAGTGGCCTGGGCCGCTGCTGGGTGCAGGGGCTGCGGAGCTGGTGCCCCGGAGTTTTCTTGCAGGAAGCCTCGCCCCCCCCCCACATTCCTTCTCGGTTCTTAGCAGCCCGTTAGGCCTGGGCCTTGGTTTTACGCCCCCGTTTTGCGTAAAAAGAAGCCGTGGTCTTGGGTTAATATGTCACCTGTACGCTTAGGACTCCAGGGGGCACCTCGGGACGCCCTGAACTTGACCATCTCCCTGTTTCCTGAAGATGCACAGGCACAAAAAGGCCATGCTGCCTGTTGTTTCTGCTCAGGCCTTGTCTTGCTGCAAAGCCTTGTGTAGTTCCCTCCGGCCCATAGCAAGATACACAGGATTCAGCCTTCCTCAGCCTGACAACCAAATCCTGGAGAAATTGCTTCTTCCCTGAACCCTCTCCTAAAGAAAGCTGCCCCTATCCAAGGGTCTCTTTCCTTCAGAGGCATGGGGCAGAGACTGCATGAAGGGAGACTTAGTTAATTCTGGGGTTTGGAGAGCCCAGAGGGCTTATGGGGTTCCTGGGAGTAAGGAGCAGAGGGTCCTGTCTTGCTTCCTGTGCAGGGTGGGGAGGAGGGATCCGAGTAGAGGGTGTCCTCATCACAGATTCTGGAGCTCCACTTCCATCCTTGGCTCCTGGTTCTCCAGAGACCTTGACTTCTGGCTCAGATAAACCGCCCCTTGCTCATTCTCCCCCTCCCCACGTGATGCTGGCTTAAGTACAACTTGCTTTTGATGGTTCTTAGGGCATTAAAATGGGGTGAAAATTGTGAGCTCGGAAAAGACATCTTAATCCTCATCTATAGCTCCTGTTGACAAGCCATTAACACTTTGTCTCTGAGCTAAAGCATTATCTCCAAAAGACTGCTTGAAAGCACATGGCTGATGGTAGAGTAGGCATGTGTTATGCCAGTGGCATTCAGTTCAATCCAGCTGGTGTTGACAGATGCCCAGGTGCTCCTGGCTCTGTGCCAGGTATGAGTAGGCACTATAAACCAGACAAAGGGTTTGACTCCTGCATGCCTCAGTGAGCAGAGCATCGCATGGATCAGCTTCTCAGACCCAGTGGCTGTTGCTTGAAAAAGAGCCTGGTGAGGGTGGGACTTCACACAGATTAGTTTTGGTGTTTGGGAAGAGGGAACAGTGCTTCAAATAGCACCTGCCCAAAGATAGGGGAATATTAGGCAGGGAGGTAAACTGAGAACCCCAAGAAGGAGAGAACCACTGAAGGGGCAAGTGGGCAAAAAGTATACTTGACCAAGTTCACCTGCATGTGGCTGTCCTGCCAGATTTGGTTGGCATTCCTTGACTGCTTCTGCTCCCTTTTCCCCAGATGCACCTCAAAGCTGGCCTTCCTGCCTCTGCCATGGCCTCATCAGTTTTCTGGGATTCTTGCTGCTGATGATCACCTTCCCCATTTCTGGCTGGTTTGCTCTGAAGGTAAGGCTGGCTGGGTCAGTCCCGAGGGTGGTTGGGTCACACTAAGAGCTTTAGTATTGATGTATGAATTCTCTGTCCTCTGCTCCCTTCCCCTCAATATTATATTTTCACACCTCTTTGAAATGGACCAGGCAAGGATTATTCAATTCCATCTTTCAGATAAGGAAACTGAGGCTCAGATTTGTCCAGTGAGCGGTAGAAACAAGCCTTCCCAAGTTCCCAAGTCCTAGGGTCTAGACCCAGGATTTAAGGTATACACAGACCTCTTTGCCAAATCATTTTCAACAAGCGGTGGTGTGGATAGGAGACAGGTGAGCTGTCCTTGAGTAGCCCACCTAAAAATGCAATGACTTTGGACACTAGGCAGGCCTTCCTTCTGTGCGGCCCTAGGCAACCGTCAATTTCGGTGCCATTCCTGGCGGTCCCAAGCCTTTGGGTTTGGTGTGGTCTGGAAAGAAGTCCATAGAACATGTTCAGTCCTACTCTTAGAACTGCCTTTGAAACAAAAACTGTGTGACCTGGGGCAGTTCCTTTGCCTCTCTGGGCCTTCATTTCAGCTTCAACTTATTTACTTCTTTGAGGACTTCGGAGATCTGAAGTTGGCAAAGCCCTTCCTCAGGGTTGCTGTGAGCTCCCTGCGTGCCGCTCCCTCCTCCCTCTTGCCCTAACTAACCCAAGAGCAGACAGCTTCCTGGTTTGAGTCATGTCTAGCTTGAGATCACACAGACAAAAAGTGTCTGAGAGGATCAGGTTCGTACAGCGTGAGAGTTGAGACGTGGCCTTTGGAGGCGATCAGGACTGCATTTAATCTCACCTGTTTCACTTTGGTCCTGTGTGATTTTTTGATGAAGCCACTGAGCCTCCCTGAGCCTGGGTTTACTCAGCTAAAAGCAGAGCCAAGGGTGAGAGGGAGGGAGGTGTGACAGGGACCTGGGCAGATGACATCACCAGCCCAGACTTAACATTTCAACCCTTTCTCTCACCATCGTGAACAGATTGTTCCCACTTATGAACGGATGATCGTGTTTCGACTGGGCCGGATCCGTACCCCACAGGGGCCTGGCATGGTTCTGCTCCTGCCCTTCATTGACTCCTTCCAGAGGGTGGATCTGAGGACACGAGCCTTCAACGTCCCTCCCTGCAAGGTGAGGGGCTTCTCAGCTCCCCTGGAGAGAGGGCGTGGGGGCTTGTGCAGAGTATATTGTGGGTACCATGGCCTGCGAGTAGCCATCTGGGGGCAGGGAATGAGAGAGGGGTGATGGAGAGGAGGCCAGAAAGTCGAGGATGGAGGCTGGGAGAACGTCTTTGCTTTATATACCTGATCCTGTTCACTTTGGAACCCCATTTTGCCCATGAGGCGTTAGCTTCCAGGTTGGGGGGTCAGTAGGCCTGCCCTCCCCTTAGCCCCAGTCCCTTGAGTATCTCCTTTCATTCTTTTCCCCCAACAGTTGGCTTCTAAGGATGGGGCTGTGCTGTCCGTGGGGGCTGATGTCCAGTTCCGCATTTGGGACCCAGTACTGTCTGTGATGACCGTGAAGGACCTGAACACAGCGACTCGCATGACGGCCCAGAACGCCATGACCAAGGCCCTGCTCAAGAGGCCTCTGCGGGAGATCCAGATGGAGAAGCTCAAGATCAGTGACCAGCTCCTGGTAGGTCGCTCCTCACGGAGTAGAGTTTGGTGACTGGCACCTGAGCCTGGCTCTCCCTGCCAGGGCACTTTTAGCAAAGCATCACATCACTCTGGGCCTCACCCAAGACTGTCACCGTTTTTGAAGAGCCAGTGGGTCTGGGTGGGGTTCGACTTGAGGAATGGAAGAAGGGTGTGGGCCATAGTGATTCAGGCAAGCCTCTCTGAGAAGTAAAAGGGCTGGCTTGAACATGAGGAGTGACCTGGCAGAAAGTTGGGCTCCCTACCTGGGACTGCTGAGCAATACTGGGTCTCTTGCTCTTGCACTCTCAGGGCAGCAGGTAGGTAGAAGGAGTGGGGTCCCTCTGACCCGGTTACCTGGGGCATCTCATACCTCATGGGGCAGCCGTGTGCATTTTGTGATTTGGGGTGGTTTATTCTGAGCAGAACAGAGGGACAGGAGGACATTTGAACCTTTTCCTGCCTCTTCCCATATGGGAGCAGGTGTCTGCACTGGAACTTAGCTCAGATCCCTCTGTGACGAGGTGGGAAGTGGAGACAGCCTCACTCACCTGTTCTCCCTCCCCTGTCCTCATAGGGGAACATGGCAGAAGCTTCCCGCAAGCCCTTGCCCCCTTGGGCTCTGCTTTCCCCCCGGGGAACTGGAGTCGGGGGACAGACGGGGCAGTGGGGAAAGGCTCGTCGTGGTAGTCCAGTCCCTTCAGGAGGTGCATTCACCAACTGCGTGAAGCTGCCAGGAGAACACTGTTGGTGCCCCTAAGTGTGCGTGTAGCATTTTCTAGTTTTCAGTCATTATGCCGGTGCCGGTGGAGCTCAGCCTCACACTTGCCGCAGCTACTGTGCTGCTGTTGTATTTTGGAGGAAGGAAAGCCTGACTCAGAAATGATGTGTCTTGCCCCAAGAGCCACAGGCAAGGCCACAGCTAGGCCGGAGCCGCCCCCAGCCCGCAGTCGAGGGCCCATTCTCACATGACTCAGTAACGAGCTGGGAACGCTTTGTCTTCATGAGTGCACGTTCTGTTTTAATTTCTCGTCAGGAGAAGAAAACCGATGGCAGCCTTGCGCATTGCTGCGTGCAACAGCCTGAGAGAGGCAGTTTGGGGGACGTCAGGCCCCCAGCAGATGCTCCTGTCGGTCAGGCCCCCTGCCCAGGGGAGCAGGGTCTGTGGCATGTCACAGCGAAACCCCGGGAAGTCCAGCCCACTTCCCTTAAGCCCTGGGTCAGGCACACATTGTCCATCCTCACATTTCATTGCACTTCACGCCTGGAGGCGCAGCACACTCCCACGCCCGGACTCCCCTGAGCCGCTGAGCCGCCCAGGCCAGCAGCTTCAGCCTTCCCTGCCGCATCGAGCCCCCACCCCACCCCACCCCATCTCTGCAGCGGGAGCAGGGCTTGCTTTTTCACCCTCAGGAGAGAAAACTAGGACAAAAACTCTTCCAGCCTCCTTCAAACTCATTCACATCTGCGCTGTTTTCCCCGCCTCACCGGAAGCACCCGCTCTCTCTGGGTGCACTCGGCGTGCTCTGGGCTCAGGACCCAGCTGAGCCCTCCATCCATTCATTCTCCTTTCTGCCCAGGCCTCCTCTCCCCCAGCCCTCACACACGCTCCCCTTCCTTCTTTCCTCCTGTCCTTTTGCAGGCCACCCCAGTTTCCTGAGGCTTCACTGTGACCTCCCTCTTAATAGTGCAGCGGCACTTCCCGGCCTTGCCTTCCTCTGCGTGGCAGCAACCCGGGACTCTGCAGACCCAGCCGCCCGCTCTCTGATCCTCTGCTTCCCTCGGCTTCTGTTGTTCCTCACGCCTGCTTGTCCTCCTCCCATCCCGGTCACTCCTAGTTACTCCTTGTCCTCGTGCCCTTTGGTTTGCAGGTGCCCATTAATAGGCGCTCCTCATCCACGACCTCCCTGGAGAGCTATTCCATCCGGGGCTTTTAGCTTCCCTGGATGTTGATTTCTCATTACACTGTGCCCCAGCCCCTTTCCTGTACCCTGACCCCTTCATCCAGTTGCCTACTGGGAAGCGGACTGGCTCCTAGACACCGCAAGCTTAAGGCTTTAATGAAAGTGATCGTCCCTCCCCACCTGTCTCCCCAAATCTGTCTCTCCGTGTCCACAGGTGAACGCCGGCCCTCACGATCACCTGGGAGCCCACACCAAGACACCACACTCCTCTGACACCTCACACACAGGCAGCTGACACAGTGGTCGTGCCCTTCCCTCCGTGTGTCGGCTTCACAGCTGCCCCTCTACCTCACACCAGGTCTCGTCATTCCTGCCTTTGATTTGAAACAAAGTCCACGACCCCCCTCAGCCCTCTCCAATCCAGCGTCCACATAGCGGCCAAGAGGCTGTCTCTAACAAGCAAGTCAGCCCTGTCCCCTGCCTGCTACATTCCCTGGGGCTCCCCATTCCCCCAATCCACACTTGAGGATCCTGCTAACTAGAACTGCCATTATCACAGTTCCCCGAATGGGCCAGGTTTTTGTGTCTGAGCTTTAGCACTCTCTTTTCCCACTACCTGGAAGGGCCCTGGATAACTGCTCCTCCTCCTGGCATCACTCGCCCTCTGTGTCTCAGGCCCTGCCTGGACCTGCAGATGGGGCAGGCCTTCGGCTTGCACCTGCCCATAGCTGGGTTGTGATTGCCCTCCACCTGTGTCCTAGCCTGGTGCCCTGCACCACCATGTCCACACGGCCATGCTAGCCTGCCCAAGGTAGTGTTTCAGAAAGGTTTGTTGAATGAATTCCTTTTCTCCATACCCTGTCTTCCAGTTGGAAATCAATGATGTGACTAGGGCCTGGGGCCTGGAGGTGGACCGTGTGGAGCTGGCAGTGGAGGCTGTGCTGCAGCCCCCCCAGGATAGCCCAGCTGCACCCAGCCTGGACAGCACTCTCCAGCAGCTGGCCCTTCACTTCCTGGGAGGAGGCATGTCCTCGGTAGCAGGAGGCCCCCCGCCTCCGGGGTCAGGTGAGGACTTCAGGGGAAGAAGGTGGGGAACTCACTGGCGCACTCAGCTTGGTGTCTAGCACAGGCCGAGCTTTGCTATTTGCATCCTTAACCCAGCACCTTTGTGCAGTGCATACCCTGTACAGCTGACCAGGCCACCTGACTCTAAAACTGGCCAGAACTAAGCCAGTAAGAAGAGTCCAGGTATCTGTGAGCGAGTGGGGCCTTTGGGAGCTGCAATGGCAGGAAGCAGTAGTAAAGGGAAGAGCTTTACATTCAAGGCTGCAGTAGCTTAGAAAAGATGTCTGGGGGGTGGTTAAGGCTGAAAATTCTTCGTAGAGGGGAAAGTTGAACAGAGGCCTGAGCAAATCTCAGAGGGAACTGCCCCAGGAGACCACGGTGATCCTGACATGGGCTGCACATTCACCTCTTCTGCCTTCCTCCCCAACCCTGTTGGCCACTCCCAGCTGACACCTTGGAGATGGTGAACGAAGATGAGCTGCCCAGCCCTCACGTGGGTACTGCGCCCAGCCTGAAGCAGCCTTTGGCTGAGGGGCTGCTGAGTGCCCTGCAGCCCTTCCTGTCTGAGGCCCTGGTCAGCCAAGTCGGCGCCTGTTACCAGTTCAATGTCATCCTGTCCAGTGGCGCCCAGAGCATCTACTTCCTGGACCTCACTACAGGTGCAGCCGCTCGCCCTGCCCTCCCTGCCCACCCATTTTCCTTGAACCCCCACCCCGCTCATGGTTCTTTTTTAGACCATCCACTGTATCTACCAATAGTCAGGGGTGAACCGCTAGTGGTCAGGGGCCTGGACACCATTTAAAGACAGAATTATCCAGGCCTCGGTCTCCCTGCAGTCAGCGGGGCAGCACAGATAGCCCGGCCCCCACACCAAGGGCCCCATGCATGTTGCTGCCTGCAGCCGCTGCTCAGCACTTTGTGCCTTTTCTTGCCTGCTTCTCACCACAAGCCAATGATCGAGGGATTATCAGCAACCCCTGTTTCTCCGGCCAGGAAACTGAGTCTCTGTGTGGTCCTAATAGTCCCTGGAATTTGAATCCAGAGTATTAGGATTAACTCCGCCACTCCTCCCAAGACACACGCTAATGAGCCCCCCTTTCCTCTGCCCCATAGCTGCCCCCCACTAATGTTGTTTCCTTTCCCCTCACAGGACAAGGGAGGGTGGGCCGCGGGGTACCTGACAACATCCCTGACGTGGTGGTGGAGATGACCGAGGTGGACCTGCAGGCACTGTTGTGCAGGCAGCTGCGGCCCCTGGGGGCCTACATGAGCGGGCGGCTGAAGGTGAAGGGCGACCTGGCCGTGGCCATGAAGCTGGAGGCAGTCCTCAGAGCCCTGAAGTAGACGCTTGGCTGATAGTCCAAAGCCCAGCCCTGCGCCAGGCATGGAGCCACAGGGGCATCTTGGAAAGGAGGTGCTCTACCTCGGATTATTGAGGCCTGAGAAGTGTCAGGCCCGGCCAGGAGCCAGTGAATGGAGACTGGGAGACGCCTGAGGCCGGGAGAGGCTGTGTCACATTGCCCTGCCCTTCTCACCAGCAATGGTGGTCTGGGCTAGTCTGCCCATGTCAGTCCTCTGCCCAGTGCCCAGCCCTGAGCTGGGTACACAGTGCAGTGACAGGACAGCCAGCCCTGCCCTGCTCTTCTGGCACTGGACTGGAGAAACAGGGCCCACACACAGCCTGACAGCAGCTGGTTTGACCCCAGTGCAAGAGAGCGGAGCGTGTAGGCCAAGCTCCAGAGGGGATGATCAGAGAGGCTGGGGGTGGGAGAGGGGAGGCAGCCACCAAGAAGAGGCCTGCTGTGGGAGGAATCTGGGGACCAGCCCAGCCTGCCTTCCTGATTGCAGTGCAGGCCCAGGCTAGTGGGGGCGGGGTGGGAGGAGGGGGCCTGCCCCTGGCCTGGCTTCTGAAGACGTTTTGACTCATCTACCAGCGCCCAGCTCTGTCTTGCATGTCTGACAGGCTGGGACTCAGGGCAGCATGAAGGAGAGCCCTGCTGTTGTGCTTCTTACAGAGATTTGAAAGCTTCAAATAAATGTAATATTTACAATGTGTTGGAGAGAAATGAGGGTGTGGTCCAGGAAGAGGTTCCTGGAGGCTGATGCGAGCCCTCGTGATCCTCATGAATCACCCCAGATCCTCTTCCTGCTGAGGGTCTCCAAGCACCTGGAGAGGAGCAGGACTCTGCTCCTCTTTACAGTTGGAGAGGTTTGCCACAAAAGGTGGGTGTGGTGTGTAAGAGCTGGTCCCCAAACATTAATGAGGCAGGATGGGGACTTATTTTGAGCATGGAATCGGGGCTGCTGTTAGCTTCTCCTTTTACACCCCGGGCGCCGGTTCTCCACATGTAGAAGGGAAGGAAATGGGCGTGGAGGCCTGCAATGCCCTGGGAGCCTGACTGGGCTTCTGCACCAGTGCTCCAGGCCAAACCCCAGAGACCCCAGAAAAGGGACCTTTGACTGCGTCATCCTAAAAAATGAATCTCATGACCTGGAGAGTCCTGTGGGGATAAAACCAAAATCCCCGCCTCCCACATAAGGAACGGCCCTGGGCACCAGGCTCCTTTTGTCCTTGCCTGTGCCTGCCTAGTCCCTGGTAGACCTCCCTGTACACAACACACAGTTTTGGGCTTCAACTCCAGGTCCCTTCCCCTGGCAGCTCCCTGCCTGCTGCCCCCGCCTTTGTGCCTCTCTCCACTCTTCTGGAGGTGCCTCTCCCGGGCTGTCTGCTCAAAAGCCTTATATCCAGGCCCTGCAGCCACCGGTGAGCCTAGTGGGGGCTGGCTCTTTCCCCCCACCTGAGCTTTCAGAGCTGAGGGGCTATCACTGTGCCCAATTTTCCTACCTGTGTTCCCCATCTTTGATAAGTGGCTGAACTCCCTGCTGGACTGTGAGCTTCAAGGGGGGCAATTCCCCTCCATACAATTCCCCTCCATACAATTCCCTCCAGGTCTGTATGCCATGCACCATGGGTTCATGGAGAAGCCCCGCATCTTCCTGAGGAAAGCAGCACCTCCCTCCAGAGCTGCCCCTGGCAGGAGGATGACCTCACAGCTGAGGGTAAACTCCTCAGGCTTTCCCTGTGGGGGTGGGGAGACACGACATTTCAGGGAAACAAACTTCTGGATGTCTGTGTGGGTAGAAAGCAAAACCTGCCAAGAACCAATAAAACCCCCTCCTGTTGGGGAGATCCCCTTGTTGCCCAGGCCAGGACTCCAGGAAAGGGAGGTTCAGGGGACTCTGGTTGGCTTTGGAGGAGTGAGCACAACCTGCAGTCCACAGCGGGAGGACCTGAGGACCCAACAGGGTCAGGGTGTGAGGAGGGAGGGAGAGGGTGCAATCAGAGAAGGCTTCCCTGAGGAGGTGATAACCTGAGACACTTGAGTAATGACAGAAGGGGAAGATACAGGGCCAGAGATGAGATACCGCACCCCTGTGAGGATCCAGGTGTCTGATTTGGGGAACTGGAACCTAAAGTATGAAGGGGCTGGGTGCAGGGGTTTGGGGAGGGGATAGAGAGAGTGGTTACGGTTTGCCGAGCCTGTCCACGTGCTAGACTGAACACCCTATTTTTTATTATTTTTTTCCTCAAGATAACCTGGCGACTAAGAATTAAAATAGTATGTTTTGATACACTAATATCATTTCATTTTGATGTTACATTTGTTTCAAACGGCCAGGCTCATACAAGTTTTTATGAATCCACCCGTGAAAAATCTGCACAATCATCACAGATAAAGTCTCTGCAGAATCTTGACTTCTTCTTTTTGCCAGCTCCAGCGTTGGCCTCTGCAGTCACCAGACTTCTCATTCTGTTCTCACATTCCTTGAGCTGTTTCCCTAAGGTCTTCTTCTCACACAGGCTATGTCTTGCAAGTCTATGTTGGGGCTCATTTTTCATTTGTATCATCCCAGGAATCGTAGATCATGCCAAAGACGTTGTCTGGTCACCTCCTAAATGGGTTCTGAATCCAGATCCCTTTCCTGTGGTTCCCCACCAGAAGGCGCTTTATTTAGACTTGTGGCAGCCTTTCAGGCCTCCGTGACCCCGCTCGGGGCCAGCCCTATTTGGCTGGGCATTTACACACGAAGGCATGGGTAACCTGGGGTACTTGATCTGGAAACTTTATCCTTCCCCATTTCTGTATTAAAGTTCCTTTCCATTAAAGGTTTTATGCACTAGAGACGTTCCGTCTTGCAACGAGTGGCAGAACCTATTTAGAGCAGGCAGATTTGGGGGTTCCAGGGTACCCCTCAACCCTGCCCTCTAACAAAATTACCCAGTCTACTTAAAGACAATAAGAATGTTGATATCTTTATCGGGATCACATTAAATATGTGAAATACTCTAAAATTGCAGGCCTGATGGTATTGAGTCTTGCTGTCCAGGCACGTGGCATGTTTTTATGTCCTTCGGAAGTTGTACAATGTTCCGCACATTGGATTTAAACATTTCTTACTATGTTTGTTCTTCAGTGCTTTGTCTTTCCTGATGCTACTATAACTGGGGTCTTCCTTCCATCCTTATCTGATCAGAAATCACTTAGGACTTTGTAGGAATTTTTCACCTTTCTAATGAGGTGACCCCCAAATATGTCACTTTGGCACGTGGATTGTCTTGAACCAAAAGCAATGAGAACCCAAAAGACTCCAGACGTGCTTTGTACTCCTGTCCCACTTAACCACCTGAAGGAATTTAGTTGATGGCCTGTCCCAGCAAGGAAGCTAGCACCAGAATTAACTGCAGCACAGGCTGAGCCAGGCATGACGGACAGGGAGGGGCTCAGCAAAATCTGCTGGTTAAAATTCCCCTCGGTCCAGTTCAACAGATGTTTGCCAAACACGTGAACTTTTCCTCTTTCTGTGAATAGCTGTCCTTCCCTTTCAAGTCCTGTACTCTACCCCCTCCTCCTTGGTGCCAGGATAACGTAGCAAATCCCCATTTTATTTTCAGGATCTTTCATGTAGATTCTCCTGATACACACACTTAAGCTGCCTCCCCCCCTCTTACGAATCTCTGATGTTAATTTGATTATTCAACCAGCCATGAAGGAAGGGGGACTCTCCCCTCCCCAACACTAGCTTGCTAGCTCTGCTGGGCTGGCCCCACTCCAGGGAGCCAAATCTGACCCAAAAGGGCGAAAGGGTGTGGAAAGTATTTCTTTTTCTCTTCCTCTTTGTTATTTCTATTAAATACCTTTCTGTTTCCCTGTTGCTCATTTATTCTCTTACAACCTGTCCCTTCCCTGCCACCCCTTCCTCTTAACCTCAGAGCCGGCGTGGTGTTTATTAATGTCAACTAGTTTTGGTGAATATTTTATCGCTATGTAAATGTCCAGCATTTGTATTGCTCTGACTCACTTTATTGCACCTAATTCTCTCAAACTTCCTCCATTTTGTTGAAGATGGTTGCATTTCGTCTTTCCTGATAAATGAACAGTATTTCTTCCTTCAGTATTTCTTGGACATTAGGGCCACTTCCATGCCCTGGCCACTAGAAATAATGCTGCCCTGTGCACTGTGAGACACTTGGAGTTTTGCTTTGGTGACTAGATGCCCAAGAATGGGACTGCTGAGGTCTATGGTATTTCCATTTTTAGTTTGTTCAGGTAAATCCTGATTGTTCTCCAAAATGGCTGCAATGGTTTACATTCCCACCAAGAGTGTAATAGGGTTCCTTTTTCTCTGAGTCATCTCCAGCACTTGTGATTGGAGGTCTTTTGCATATGGGCTATTCTTATGATGTGGTTTTAACCTGCATTTCTCTAATTGGAAATGATGAGCATTTTTTCTTATGTCTGTTGGTCTTCTGGATACCCTCATTGGTGAGTTGTCCGTAAGTGCTGCCCGCTTATTAATTATGTTAATTATTAAGTTTGATTTTTTATTATTGAATTGTGAGGTTTTTAGGTGTATCTTAGATATTAGCCCCTTATCAGTTGCATATTGTGTGAATATTTTCTCCCCTTCAAAAAGGTGTCTTTTTATCTTCTTGTGTCTTCTTTTGCAGTATAAAAGCTTTTTAGCCTGAGGTGGTCCCAATTATTTATTTTTATTTCCCTTGTCATCGAGGTTGAGTCACCACATACATCTTTATTGTTGATATCATGAAACATATCACCAGTTTCCTACTGTATTTTCTTGCCTCAGGTCTTATATCTTAAATCTTTACTCCATTTGGAGTTTATTTTTGTGTGTTATTTATATAGTGAGTGATCGAACTTTGTTATTTTATGAGTGGCTTTCCAGTTTTCCCAGCATCATTCATTAGAGGTTAGGTGCTGGAATGTCCTTGGGTTTATTTCTCTTCTTTCAATTCCATTCACTTGATCCATGTATCTGTTCTGGTGTCCATACCATATTGTTTTTAGTACTGCTGCTTTATAGTATAGTTTGAAATCAAGTACATGATGCCTTAATTTCTCTCCTTTTTTCTCAGGATTGTTTTTGTAATTTGAGACCTTTTGCAGTTCTATGTAGATTTCTATTTGTTTTGTTCAGTTTCTTTGAAAATTTTGCTGGTAACTTGATGGGAATTGCATTCTATTTATGTATCATTTTAGGCAGGATAGTCATTATGATTGTTGCTTCTTCTCATTGCTGAGCAGGGGGTGTCCTTCCATCTCATGTCACCATCTAACTCTTACAAGAACATCTTATAGTACTCGTTGTATAGGTCCTTTACTGCCTTAGTGAGGTCAGTTCCGAGGTATTTAATTCTTTTTGAAGCAACTATAAATGGAGGTATTTTCTTAATTGCTTTTGTGTATTTTTATAATCTTCGTTTTCAGTATGCAGTCATCTGCAAGTGTTGATAACTACCTCCTCCTTTCAAAGCTTTGAAATGCTTTCTCTTGTCTCATTGCATTGGAGGTAGGAATTTTTAAGCCAGCAGTGAGAGGTTAGTGTCCTGAGAGGAGAGCTCCAGCAGGACGGGAGGGAAAACAGAGCAGAAAAGAGAGAGTGACCAAGAATGAGGGAGAGGGCCTCCCCGGTGGCGCAGCGGTTGAGCGCTGGGTTGCGAGGCTGCCCGCAGCCTCTGCAGCACCGGTTCAATCCCCGGCTGCTCCCCGGCCACTGGAGGAGGGTCCCACATGGCGCGCAGACCTCTCCTGCCGCCCGCTGCTCCCCTCAGCAGTGTACTTCGGTCCTTCTGCCTGCTCTGCTCCCCGCTCTGGCTCTGGTGAATTCTCTCACCCTCCCGCGCTTCTGACTGTACCCAGCGCTTGTATAATTAAATAAATGAATGAATGAATAAATAAATAAA